CCGCCCCACCTCCTCTCCTCTGACCCCGCCCCCCTCCGACCGCCTCCGACCCCGCCCCAAGCCCCGCCCCTGTCCCACCCTCCCCGCCTCCCGACCCCGCCCCTGCCCCGCCTCCTCTCCTCTGACCCCGCCCCCTCCGACCGCCTCCGAGCCCGCCCCCAAGCCCCGTCCCCTCCGCCCTCCACCTCACCTGGCCCCCCCTCCCCGGTCCCGCCCCCCCCCCCCCCCCCCCCCCCCCCCCCCCCCCCGCTGCCGGCCTGCAGTTCCTGGAATCCTCCCGCTGCAGGATTGAACGGGAGTTGCTGTCTCTACTATACACAGAGCCCTTAAAGGGCAGCCACAACAACAAGCTACCTGCATCTAAGAGACCGAGAGAAGTTCCAGGATAAATTTACACAGCAGAAGTGGCCAGGGCTCAAGCGGCGCAGCTGGAGCTGAGGGGCAGCGTCCAGCCCCCGAGTTCAAGACCCACCACGCGCCAAAAGCAAAAGGACACTCATGTAAGTTTAAAAACCACTTCTAGCTGGTGGCTCACCCTGGCACCCCAGAGAACGGCTGGGAGTGAGGCCTAGTGCACAGAAAGCCCTGGTTCATAGGCTCAGCACACACATGCAGAACACGCCCCAAGAGCCGCTGTGGCTCTGGTGGCACAGCACTAGCCTCGAGCACTAGCTGCCCAGGGACAGCACCCAGGCCCACAGTTCAAGCCCCAGAACTGGCGACAAAAAACGCAGCAGCAGAAGCTGAGATCTGGGGATCACAGTTCAAAGCCAGCCTGGGTGGGGAGTCCATGTACTCTTTATTTCCAATTAACCAGCAAAAAGCCAGAAGGGAAACTGTGGCTCAAGTGCTAGAACACTATATGCACAAGAACAGCACCCAGGCCCTGAGTTCAAGCCCCAGTATCTGTGAGTGTGGGTGCACACACACACACACACACACAAACGCACACAAGTAAAAACACTCCTTTCTACCCATCACACTGACAAAGACCTTTGCCAATTGCTGACAGACACCCTCCTTTCTGGATCCCCCTCCCCCACGCTCCTGCTAAGCTTAAGTGCTACATTCCCTTAAGGGAAGTCCCACTTAGAGGCCTCAGAACTAAGAAAATCACCAGAAGGGAAAGACCCTGCTGGGGCTGCTGGCCAGTGTCTGAGAGCGGAGAGCACTGCAAACTGTGCGGCTGGCAGAGGGGCTGTGGAGACTGCCCCCGCCCTCTGTAAAGGTCCACATTCTATTCAATCAGTGAGAGATGAAAGCACCCAGAAGGTGGCCGTTCGCCCGCCAGGCCCCGGCTGCGGGCAGAGGGCGCGAAGGCGACGTCCCTCTGAGCTGACCCTCTCATCAAGCAGCTCCTCCGTGCTGCATCACCTCCTCGGCTGGTACTGGCCTCCGTCCACCCACGGCCTCCTATGAGCCTCACCCTTCCTTTCAGAGGGCGGACTCATTCACCGAGTGACCTCGGTGCTCTGACAGCCTCCAGCCCTTGGTGACCTGCGTCCCACAGGAGCAGGCCGCCCTCCAGCGGGTCACCCTCCAACTGCCCACGGCCTCCATTAATGATACCTTTGGCTGGAAGGCAGGTCCTGGAAGGCATGAAGGGGTTAGGGGGAGGCTGAGGCTCTGGCTGGCCAGGCAGCCCTCCTCCCTCACCTCCTCCTGTGTCCTCTTCCTACACCCTGGTGAGTGACAGCCACCTAGGAGCAGCCCAGGGCCTGCTGGGAGTCTAATCCTAGGAAATGATCGCAATAGGGCTGGGAAGGTGGCCTGGTGGTAGAGCGCTTGCCTAGCACGCTTGAGGGCCTGGGTTCCATTCCTCAGTACCACATAAGCAGAAAAGTGGCTCAAGTGGTAGCCGGCTACCCTTGAGCAAAAGACGCCCAGGGACAGCGCCCAGGCCCTGAGTTCAAGACCAGGACAGGGGGAAAAGAAAAGGAGAAAAGAAAAGAAAAAGGAAACGATCACAAAAACACGCGCGCGGCCCGGGCCGTCCACGCTGGCGCCGCCCGCGCAGGGCCTCCCGCGCCCGTCCCCGCTCGCGCCCCGCCCCGCGCCCCGCCCTACCTGCGATGCGGATGACCGCCCGCTCCGCGGGGTCCAGGACGCTGCCGTTCGCCCCGGCGCCGCCGCCGCTCCGCCGGCTCCGCTGCGTCTTGCCCAGGTTCCAGGGCAGCGTGTCCCCGGGGCTGGGCGAGCCGCTGCTGCCGTTGGAGCCGCTCTCGGCCGGCCTCGCCTCCGAGTCCTCCGCCGACATGGCCTCCTGCGGGGCAGCGGGGCTCTCAGCGCAGCCGCGGGCAGACCGGGCCGCAGCACCCCCCCCCCCCCCCGGCCCGCACGCGATCACAGCCGCTCCCTCCGGCCTCCTGCACCGGGCCACTCACGCAGCGCGGCCCCGATGCCTGGTAGACCCAAGAGGTGAGGGGTCACCGGGGTGACCGGCCCCCACACCCGTCCCTCCGACCCCGGCCCCCGCGCGGTCCTGCAGCCCGCCAGCGAGCAGGCCCGGCCCCCGACCCCCGGCCCCCGGCCCCCGGCCCGCGCCTGGCCCCCGACCCCCGGCCCCCGACCCCCGGCCCCCGGCCCCCGGCCCCCGGCCCCCGGCCCGCGCCTGGCCCCCGACCCCCGACCCCCGGCCCCCGGCCCCCGGCCCGCGCCCGGCCCCCGGCCCCCGGCCCCCGGCCCGCGCCTGGCCCCCGGCCCCCGGCCCGCGCCCCGCGCCCGGCCCCCGGCCCCCGGCCCCCGGCCCGCGCCCGGCCCCCGGCCCCCGGCCCCCGACCCCCGGCCCCCGGCCCGCGCCTGGCCCCCGGCCCCCGGCCCGCGCCTGGCCCCCGGCCCCCGGCCCGCGCCTGGCCCCCGGCCCCCGGCCCCCGGCCCGCGCCTGGCCCCCGGCCCCCGGCCCCCGGCCCGCGCCTGGCCCCCGGCCCCCGGCCCGCGCCTGGCCCCCGGCCCCCGGCCCCCGGCCCGCGCCTGGCCCCCGGCCCCCGGCCCCCGGCCCCCGGCCCGCGCCTGGCCCCCTGGGTCGCCACCACCCAGCGCCGCCCCCGGCCCCGCGCACGCCCGCGCCGGTCTCCGCAGCACAAGCCTATAAATAGCTGATGCGGCGGCGTGGGAGCTCGGCTGCGGCGGGCAGGAACCGGGAGCCGGGGGGCCGGGGCGGGACTGGGGGCCGGGGGCCGGACAGCCGGGGGACGGCCGCCGCCCACCCCGCGGGCGGGTGGGGAGCAGGCCTGAGGCGCGCGGGCGGCGGCGGGGGTCACAATGCGGGCTCCGTGCCTCCGCCCTCGGGCCGGGGGAGACCCGCGCCCCGCGCCCCGCGCCCCGCCGCTCCCGGCCCGGGCCGCGCCGCAGCCTCTCGCCCCGCACCCCGCACCTCCCGTCCAGT